TTTTTTTTTTGTTTAGATCTCGTTGTTGTGGCCGGCTCCGGCGCCCGGGCCGTACTCACTGGAGCGCGGCGCCATGCCCAGGTACTGCTTCAGGAACTCGCTAAACCTCTTCTGGTTGTTCCACTTCCGCGCCGATTTGCGCACCCCGATGAAGCCCCCGTACCTCTTCTGCACCCCCTTGGCCGCCCGGCCCTCTCCCAGCCGCCTCCAAATGTCCTCCTCCTCCTCTTCCTCTTCCTCCCGGCCACGTTTGGGGAAGGCTCCGGGCGCGGCCGGCTCGCTCGCCGCTCGGCCTTGCGCGGACGGGTGGCGAGGTCGCGGCGCGCTTCGGCCGCTGGCCGCGCACAGCTCCCAGGTGGCCCTGGGGACGGCTTGGCCTTCGCACTCCAGGACGCAGATCTGTGGGGGGAATGGGGAGGGGGAGAGGGGGTCAGGGGTGGGGGAATGGGTGGGGTGGCCCAAGGGATTTGGGTGCTTCTGGTTTTATTGCGACAGGCCCAGCACGGGAGGAGCTGTGGGGTGTGCGGGGTTCTCCTGGTCTCATGGTGGGAGGTGTCTCCGCTCCATTCCCACCCCATTGCTGCCCCATTGCAGCCCCATTCCTACCCCATTGCAGCTCCATTCCAGCACCATTCCCACCCCATTGCGCCCCATTCCCACCCCATTGCAGCTCCAATCCAACTCCATTCCCACCCCATTGTGCCCCATTCCCACCCCATTGCAGCTCCAATCCAACTCCATTCCCACCCCATTGCAGCCCCATTCCTACCCCATTGCAGCTCCATTCCAGCACCATTCCCACCCCACTGCTGCTCCATTCCCACCCCATTGCAGCCCTATTGCTGCTCCATTCCCACCCCACTGCAGCTCCATTGCAGCCCCATTGCTGCTCCATTCCCACCCCATTGCAGCCCCACTGCTGCTCCATTCCCACCCCATTGCAGCCCCACTGCTGCTCCATTCCCACCCCATTGCAGCTCCATTGCAGCTCCATTCCCACCCCATTGCAGCTCCATTGCAGCCCCATTGCAGCTCCATTGCAGCACCATTCCGGTTCTGTTCCCACCCCATTGCAGCCCCATTCCC